TAAGGAAAAGACAGATCAGTGTTGTTAAACGGATCAACAATAAGCACAATGTAATTTTTTTTTTGTAACGATGGGAGAATTGATAGAGATATTCAAATACGAAGACAAAAGGCAGGAGCAGCTTTCATAACACTAGCAAATTTGTGGAAGTCAAAAAAAAAAAAAATTTCAACTATTACTAACCTTGTATAGCGGCGTCCGTGGCTAAGGCGTTGCGAGTCTGACTCGTAATCCAACGTACCGCGATCGAAACCTGCGTGGGCTGCGTGGATTTGTATCGTGGTATGGGACGTCGCAGGTCGACCCAGCCTCAAATGGGTACCAGGAAGGGCTGTCCTGGGAAAGTAAAGACGGCCGGTGTAATGCTGACCACATTACCCACCGAGTGCCGATTGGTCTGTAAAAATATGGGTGCTCTTCCCATATGCCCGATGCGCCTAAGGGCGTGTAAAGGGATCTTTACTTTTTTTTTTACTTTACTTACTAACCTTGCAATTTAAAATGATAATATCAGTTCAGTACTGTTATATTTAATAGGAACATGGGGGAAAACAAAGACTACAAATCTTCTACAAACACTTAAAAACTGATGCCTGCGAAGAATAGATGGAGTTAAAAGGTATGATACAAATCACCAATGTACAGCTTTTGGAGAGAACTAAATAACTTCCTCAGTTGAATGAACCTAAAGAGACAATTCGCACTCTTTGAACACATTATCAGTTGAGGGAGCCTGAAGTATAAGACAATTCACTTTCTTTGGGCACATCATCAATCGAGGGAGCCTGAAGTATAAGACAATTCATACTTTTTGAGCACATCATCAGTTGAGGGAACCTGAAGTATAAGACAATTCATACTCTTTAAGCACATCATCAATAGAGGGAACCTGAAGTAAGAGACAATTCATACACTTTAAGCTCATCATCAATAGAGGGAACCTGAAGTATAAGACAATTCATACACTTTAAGCACATCATCAATTGAGGGAACCTGAAGTATAAGACAATTCATACACTTTAAGCTCATCATCAATAGAGGGAACCTGAAGTAAGAGACAATTCATACACTTTAAGCTCATCATCAATAGAGGGAACCTGAAGTATAAGACAATTCATACACTTTAAGCACATCATCAATTGAGGGAACCTGAAGTATAAGACAATTCATACACTTTAAGCACATCATTAATAGAGGGAACCTGAAGTAAGAGACAATTCATACACTTTAAGCACATCATCAATAGAGGGAACCTGAAGTATAAGACAATTCATACACTTTAAGCACATCATTAATTGAGGGAACCTGAAGTATAAAACAATTCATACTCTTTAAGCACATCATCAGTTGAGGGAACCTGACGTATAAGACAATTCATACTCTTTAAGCACATCATCGGTTGAGGTCACCTGAAGAATGAGACAATTCATACTCTTTAAGCATGTCATCAATAGAGGGAACCTGAAGTATAAGACAATTCATACACTTTAAGCACATCATCAATTGAGGGAACCTGAAGTATAAAACAATTCATACTCTTTAAGCACATCATCAGTTGAGGGAACCTGACGTATAAGACAATTCATACTCCTTAAGCACATCATCGGTTGAGGTAACCTGAAGAATGAGACAATTCATACTCTTTAAGCATGTCATCAATAGAGGGAACCTGAAGTATAAGACAATTCATACACTTTAAGCACATCATCAGTTGAGGGAACCTGAAGTTAGAGACAATTCATACACTTTGAGCACATCATCAGTTGAGGGAACCTGAAGTATAAGACAATTCATACTCTTTAAGCACATCATCAGTTGAGGGAACCTGAAGTTAGAGACAATTCATACACTTTAAGCACATCATCAGTTGAGGGAACCTGAAGTATGAGAATATTCATGCACTTTAAGCACATCATCAGTTGAGGGAACCTGAAGTATAAGACAATTCATACACTTTAAGCACATCATCAGTTGAGGGAACCTGAAGTTAGAGACAGATATTGTGAGACAGAAGTTTGTGGAGCAGGCATCATTACCCCAGGGCTACCTGCAAGAACTGCAAACAGAAGATGTCCAGTTAGCGACATTTGTCTTCAAGTCATTCACTGTGTGGTCATGTAGCCATCTAGCGGCTGCCATAGCCCCTTACACTTTCCAATATCACACAAAATTGTCTTATTTTACTATCTATTATTTGATTACCTGGAAACACAAGGGAACAGAATGGATATGGGCTTGATGACCTGGCAACGTCAGGAATATTGACTTCATTAAAGAGAAACAGCAGGGATATGGACTTTATAAAAGAGAAACAGCAGGGATATGGACTTTATAAAAGAGAAACAGCAGGGATATGGACTTTATAAAAGAGAAACAGCAGGGATATGGACTTTATAAAAGAGAAACAGCAGGGATATGGACTTTATAAAAGAGAAACAGCAGGGATATGGACTTTATAAAAGAGAAACAGCAGGGATATGGACTTGATGACCTGGTAACGTCAGGGATATGGACTTTATGAAAGAGAAACAGCAGGGATATGGACTTGATGACAAGGAAACTATAGGAATAGGGACTTGATGACCGGAGAACAGCAGGGATATGGACTTGACAACCGAGAAACGGTAGGAATATGGGCTAAATTATCAGTAGCTGTCTTGAATGAACGTTAAGGTGGTACCTGATTAATTCAGTCATTGTATGTACATTTGAAAGAATATGTGAATTTGGTTGCTGGTATTCCTCTAGTTCTGCATTGTCGTTGGAGTTACATAGTTTGAGTTTTGCTGAACACTAGCGGCAAGCTCGCTAGTCATACTGCGGAGAGCCCATGAGAAATCAATCCTGAGGTCGCTCCTCCAACTTTAACCTGAATCGCTGGAGCCAAAACTTGTCTAATTATAGATTCCGAGTTACAACTGAGTGCCATTCTAGAGAATGTTTGAGTTATTTGAATTTTTATGTTATGTTATCAAAATTGACGATACTGCATACTGTGCATTTCCATGCGTACTCAGTGTTTTGATACAGCAGCTACTTCAAGGTACCTCTACTTATTGTTCCTATGCGAAGTTGGTTATAGTGTTTTGACTTGAAAGACGGCAAAGACCTGCTTCAGCAAGATTTACAGCAAAAGCGCGCAATCGTGTTAGCGTCAGCGATTCATCCTTATCCTCCAGCACTCCCCCCCCCCCACCCCCTACCCCCAGATCTGACCATGCATCTTCCGGTTTACATTGGCCCGCTTCTTGCCAGCTGCTCGGCTCTTTCATTATCGTTTACTCCTGCATGCCCAGGTGTGCAGATCTCCATAGTGGAAGCTAGCTACGACTTCCGAACGTTTTCTACTCATTCAGTGGGAAAACTATTTGTGCAAGCTATTTGAGAGATTTAAACATTGCGTTTGTCTGTAGGTTCAGTGTTTGTGACATCTTCTTGCTGCAGGTGTGTTTGTGCTTCTGTGTTTGGTGCCAATGGGGACGTGTTGTTACTATAAATGCATACAGGATTTTACGAAGGATATGGAGAAGATCAGCCACAGTTCCAACAACAGCTCTGTATTTTCTTCAGACTTCTGCAGGTGAGTTCACAGCCTAATTCTGATTTATCAGCCAATTAACTAATTTAACGAGTTATGGTTCATGGTTACTTCTGCATGTGAGTTCTCAGCCTAATTCTAATATATCAGCCAATTAACTAATATGACGAGTTATGGTCCATGGTTACTGACAGACATTTATAGAAGGCTAGAGGACAGAATTTTACATATGAGCACACTAGAGGTAGAGAAGTAAACTCATTAGCAGGAAATATAAGAGACCTGTTTTCAAACCCCCTTACCACCACCCCCCCCCCCAAACCGCAACACCCCCCCCCCTCCCTTAACAATTTCATTTCACTGATCTCTACCACTTCAGTAAACTTTCTTGACATCACAGTCAACATCAATTCCGCACTCACAGCTCCTCCGACTGCTTATGTTGTGCTCTGATGACTTCTTTGATAAATGAGTTGAACTTCTTGACTTCTTCATGCCCGTTTCTATCCGGAGCCCATTCTACAAAAGGCTCTGAACAAAGTTTTAACAATCACCAGGTGAGAAGCTTTCCCCACCAAATGTAATTGCACCAGTGATGGACCCAAATTGATTTTGACTTTTTATCCCAACAATATGGTTGCTTTCAAAATATTCTTTCGCCATTTGGACATCCTCCGCTCTGATCCGGACATCAAGATGATCTTTAGTGAGAAGACGAGATTAGTTTATAGACGAGACAGCAACCTTAAAGATATACTCGCCAGAAGCCGACTCCCGCCGATCCACACAGCACTTCCTTTTGGGACTGCTGAGTGCTCGCACAAGTACAAGACATGTCCTTTCGTTGTCCAGACCTCAGTTTCCCCAGTGGTTCTGTCAAAATTAGAGAACCTTTTATTTATGAATCCCGCAACGTAATTTATGCCATAATTTGCCAGATATGCAACAGTGAATACATCGGGGAAACCGGGAGGAAGTTAGCTGATCGGTTCCCGGAACACCTCTCCGATATTGACAAGAAGATACTTAAACCAATCCCTCTCCTTTTCAACAGCTCTTACCACAGAAGCAAGTCTTTGTCCCTGGGTATTCGGGTGTCGTTCGCAATGAAAAAGCCGAAAGATTGGCTGGCTCTGCTTTAGTTACCGAGGGCTGGCCCGTGGATCATTTCGACATTGTTAATGCCATCAGAGAGGTAGAAGGTTTAGAGGATTTTGGGGGCAGCACATCCACATCTTTGCTAAGAGTGCAAGAACTGGGAGTTTGAAAACGTTTCTCGCGTGACCCCTTAGGGGTTGGGCTACTCTCCTCTTTGTTATTGTTGTGTAGTTCAGTTCGTTTCGAGAAAGGCTCCCTGCTTAAACATCTTTATGTTGTTTTATGCACGCTTTTGTGCTTCCCGATTTCTTTAAGCTTTCAGTCACAATTCACTGGATTAATTCTTCCTATCTTCTACAGGGCTATGTCCAGTCAAATCCAATGTCTGCAGGTCGTTGTAGAAGAATGTCCACAGCAGAAGTCGCTGGTAGAGAACCTGTTGTCCTTCTTCATAGAGCCTGAATACTACAGGACGTGCAGTGGTAGGTCTCAACGGTCTGTCTGAGAAACCATTGATATACGACAAGCAATTATGGACTCATCAAAGATGTTCAAGACATTGTTTTTGTCCAGCAAAAACATGCACCCTGCTTCTATATATATATATATATATATATATATATATATATATATATATATATATATATATATATATATATATATATATATATATATAATGCGATCAACAGCACTAAATGACACAATATTTAATTTATTACTTACTATGATCAAATGAAACGTCCACAATGTTTCATTTATTACTTGCTGTTGTATCCAGCAATCTTGCACAGAAGACAAAATATTGTACTAGTTATCTTGTATTTATTTATAATTATTGTAATTTATAATTTTCACACACGAGGAATATCCTGGCTTAATTGAACAAGAAGTCAGAGAAGCAATCAGGTGCAGCACACACAAAAACGGCCGCTGGTGTTGATGGAATTACAGCTGAGGCAATACAGGCCTGAGGGGAAACTCTGCCTGAACCTCTCGTCACTCCCTCCCCCCCCCCCCCCCTTCCCTGCATCAGTCTCACCAGACTGTGGTGATCCATCTGCTCCTCCGAACTGTACACGCTCTCCCACAAGGCACTAACCACGTTTGCCTTATCAGTATTCCACCAAGTTGTGCAGAGCCAGCCAGTCTGTCCGCCTGTTCAACGAATTAGATCTGTTGTAGAACCGATTCTGAGCCCAGCACAGGTCAGATTCAGGAAACGAAGAGAGTGTACTGATGCTATTTTCTCCTTTAGCCAAATTAGCGAAAAGACAATAGAACACAGACACCAAATGAACATCGATTTTATAGATCAAGAAAAGGCTTTTCACAGAGTAAATAATGATTTACTATGGGATGTCCTTGAAAACTATGGCATAAATGGAACAGTGCTAGACTGTGTAAGAGCTGTTTATAGAGACAGTGAAAGCGCCATTAGAACAAGAGCTAGCCTCACAGACTGGTTCCCAGTAACATCGAGAGTTAGGCTATGATGTGTTCTTTCACCTTTACTTTTTATAATATTCATGGACAGTAATAATAAAATAAACATAACAACACCAGATGTCGATAAACAAGAGGACTTCAATGAGCTGCTCTTTGCTGACGATCAGTGCATATTCTACAGTGAAAGTAAACAACTTCAGGACCACATAAACGACATGACAGTTGACCTAAACATCACATGAAGATCAATACTGAAAAAACAGAAGTCACGAAACAAGTGCAAGAATTTTAATACTTGGGAAGCATCTATACATACAATGGTAACAGACAGAGAGATAGAAATGAGAATCCAACAAACCAACAATGTCACATACCAACTTACTCCAATGCTGAAATACCCTGCTTTCCCAGTAGAGACAGAAAGACAAATCATAAACACAATGTTTGTATAGACTTTAGGTTACCAAAGTCAGACTTGAAAGGATTTGGCCGTCTTATAGTAATGAAACCAACGATGCAAGCAGCAAGAGCGTACAACCTGAAAATCGGAACACAAAGAGGTAGAGGAAGACAAAAAATATGGATTAAAGGAGTCACTGACACCTTGAGACTGCATAGCATCACGACATATCAAGTACTGAGCGCTACCTGGCTCGGCTGTCATTCGTCTGATGAACTGAGACGCCTAGCGGCATAAGCAGATATTGACAAAAGAAGGGGTAATCGTCAAAATATTTATAATTACTGTAGCTAGTCATCGTACAGTATGGTAGAAGGAGACTCAGCAGACGTGCTGGTGCACGCAAAAGTCAGTCCAAGTCAGAAGGCCTGGAAATAAAGCTTGGTGAAGCACGTCTATGTCGTCTTTGCGGTCAACACAGAAGACACTATAACCAACTTATTATGGGAAAAAATTGGTTCAGGTATCTTGGAGTTGCTGCTGTATCGGCGAACTGAGCCCGCATGGGAATGCCCAGTGTACACTGAGGTCAGCTGTGATAGCATAACATAACCTGATTGTGTAATTATTTCTGGCACCTAGCTAGTCTCAATGCTGCTACATTTGTACATGGTGCTTTTTTCTGACCTTGACCTAACAATTTTTTTAACCAACCAAACAGGAAATACTTCTGGCACGAATGGAACCACCGACACTAACTCCACCACAGCAGTGACGCTACCTGGTAACGGCTTGAGATCTACCATCATGGGGTCTGCCTGGGGGTCCAATTTTACAGGCTTCGCCCCCACTTCAGGGACCACACTGATGGTCTGCACGCAGAAGCTCAAGACCTGTCAGAACAGCTTCAATAACACCTTTACTTCCCACATGGCGCTGTATAATATTTCTGGACTCTGCCAGTACGTGTAGCGTCAGCCATAAGTTTGGTTAGTTAGTTAGTTAGTTAGTTAGTTAGTTAGTTAGTTAGTTAGTTAGTTAGTTAGTTAGTTAGTTAGTTAGTTAGTTAGTTAGTTAGTTAGTTAGTTAGTTAGTTAGTTAGTTAGTTAGTTTAGTTAGCTAGTTAGTTAGTTTAGTTAGCTAGTTAGTTAGTCGACAGATTATCCTCATTGCACGTCGAACCACTCAGTCCATATATATATATATATATAAATTTCAAGACAATCAAGATGGTTTCCAGTGAATGGAGTTCAGGACGTCACAGCGATGGTGTTGAAACAGCCAAATAGTTCAAAGAGAGTACATGAATCATCACTGTGAAACATAGGTAGCCATGTAAAGAGAGCATTTATGTCATCTTAGATGTTACTTATCCAGTCTGGTAGGTCACTGCTCCCCTCAGTCCATGGAGATTTGAACCGGCTGACTCAATAGATCGCTTTTCTCCTGGTTGAGCTGGTAAACACTGATCGTCTTACATATGAATACAAAGAAACTGCACTGGAGCCCAACAAAGCTCCCGAAGAAGGCTTCCTTGGATTGATGACACAGGTGGCCTGCAATACTGTCTCTCAGCCACTGGAACTCACACACAAGCTCCTTCCATGTTGAAGTTGTGACAACAATAGGTAGGATTTTGGGTAGGTTTGGTGATAGGGATGGTATGGGTTGGTGTCACATATCACTCCTGTCGCGTGCCTAATGTAAGGATTTCTCCTTCAGAACCAGCAGCACTCAGAGATAATTTTGTTGAGTCGTTTGGCTCGTATTGGTCTAAGGGATTCCCCGTGGCCAATATACGATCAACTTATCTCTGGAGTAGGGCAACTCAAGTATTGGCACTACAAAATATGTCAATATATTTATATCTATATTTCTAGGCACACTTGGCTGGACACCCCCACTACTTACTAAAGAAAGCCCCCAGGTTATGATAGTTCATTATCAAAACCATGTTAACACATATAATGAAGATACATACACATACAACTGCTAAACACTTAAGAAGGTGACATAGAGAAACCTAAGTCAGCCATGAAAATGAATGCATGTATTTAGTATAATATCTGTACAAAAACAATTGAAGTGAATTCCAGCTATCAGTGAAAGAATTTCAGCACTAATGTCTAAATCCTAAGGAAACTAGGCAGACAGCCGGTCCTGGAGGGGACATCTTCTCATCACTGGACACAGGAAGCTGTGAGGAACACAACATCATGCGAAGCATTAGACTTATCTTCTCTTATCTCTGTCTATGATGCCTCCCTCAGCTCCGGATGATTTGACTGTCTTTGACTCTGGGAATTCTGCTCCACTGGATCAAGTAGCAAGAGTACTTCACTGTACAGCAACTGTACTGGTATCTAGCATGTCTATATCACCAGTAAGGACACACAATGTCTTAGAGCCACATTACTCTGGCACTGGTAGCTGTTTGAGGCACAATCTCCCCCATTTTTGGAGATGTCAGGAACCTTCACAGGTGTTAGCTGGTGGGTAACAAGTTGGTTCTGGTGGTAGGATGTTGGTGAGTGGATGTTGTTGAGACTGTGAATCTTCTGCCAGCTCTTCAGAAAATATACATCCTGTCAAGAAAATAACTCAACATTAGTCATCATCAAGAGGGTAACATCTTGACAGGAAAGACAGAGCAAGCATAGTCATCAACTCCCATCTGCTGACTCCTCCCTGCTCTCCTGTTTCATTCCTCAGATTGTCTCTCCAGACCAAAAGACATAAGTCTCCTATATTTATCTGTCTGTTTAGTGCAAGAGAAGGCAAGTCAGATATGCAGTGGAGACAGATAAAGTGGTCTAACACATATATCATCTCCCCCTATCCCTCTCACTCTGCACACAAACACCAATATTTACTGTCAGTACCTGCATTCACTAGTTTTCCCAACCGCCCCAGCACTCATTGATCTGGGTCAAGCACACACATACTTTGATTAACACAGCCCTGACCCAATTCTGTCCCCATCTCGTATGTACAGATTCTGTAAGTAGTTTAAACCGTACACAAGTGTAAGGGCATTAAATGTTTATCAGTATGGGTGGTTTATTGAGGGCATAAGCTATTTAGTCTGTACAGTGGAAGATCTACGTTCGAATCCGCTACTCTAGCGATCAAGAATGGTAGAACTAAGTGAGATCACACAGCCGATATGGATTTCTCTACAGCAGTGACTACTTTACAGACAACATTCTAGGTACTCGTAAACTATAATTAACTTACCCAAGCATATGTAAAACTGAGATCTTTCCAGATTGCCTTGAAAATTTAAAGTATACAGGCACAGATTAACACATCTGGAGGCTTGAGAAGCTGGCAAGGAGAATGGCGTCAGTTAGACAATTCAGGCGTTGGTACAAAAGAAGTTCCTTGTATACTGGGGCAAGGAGTAAATCGGTTTCTAAGAAACCTCAATTAACTCCCTAAATATATCCCCAAAAGAAATACATTTAAAAGTGGAGTTTAGTTAAAGTAACCAGAAAAGGCAGACATAATAATGTTGTCCAATACAGGCCTATATATATAGATATAAGGGACTATATATTTCTGGGTGAGTCCAAGTTTGAATTTTGTGCAGATTACAGGTAAGACAGGTTATCAGCCTTACAAACCGATGTGTAATGACTATCATTTCACGACAGTTGGTGATTGTTGGCTGGACTGTGATTCGTCTGCCTGACCTCTAAGGAAGTATCATCCTGTCAGGAAAGAACTCAGAATTAGTAATCATCTTAAGATTCACACACCAGCTTAACTTATCTCCCGCTACCCTTTTCAGTCACTCAGAGTATACTCTCAAGAACAGAAGACAATGTCCCTTTCCTTTATCTGTCTGTAAGTCAGTAACCAGATAGAAGACAAGGTACATAGTGGAGATAGATAGACAATACTACACATAGATCATCCACTCTCCACCTTCTTATCTACACCCTCAGACATACATTCTATCCCGTTCGTACATGTATATATTTCATATCTCCACAATCTGCCCACTGCACACCCATTGTTGTCGTGCCAAAATTAACCTTTTACTCAGAGCGCCTAGCTTGCTTACGTCACAGCATCTAGCCGGCTGAAGGATGACTCAGTTTACATATGTCTTCTGGTCGACACAAACTCCGTTGTCTGGTTAGAGAATAATTAACTTGTTGGGTTTAATATCTTTACAATGGTGTGTGTCATGTAGAGCACAAACTATTTAGCATGCGAAGGGAAAGGTTTCATTTTAGGGCCTGGCGTGTCTGGATAACAAAAACGGCCTAGTTCTGTGCGGTCACACAGCCGAATCTTCCCTCCCTGCAGCAGTGGTTAACTTCAAAAAGACATATATCGACGTACTCGCAAACTATACTCATCTCACCCAAGCTTAGGAATCCTTCAAAGATTAAACTGGTATTTTGAAAGCGCCAAAGTTTAACGAGAGAATTAAAATGTCTCCCGACACCTAAGAGGTCTGGCAAAAGAATGCCCGCCCCAGATTCCGCTTGCCGTCTCTAGAAAAGTATTCCTGTATTCGTGACTAAGGAGTAAAAAGGCTTACAGGAATTTCTGAATAATTTTCCAGAAATATCTATCCCACAGTTGCAAGTTTGAAAATGTAGACTTCTCAAAACAACTAGAGGGTCTAGAAATGTTTATTTCACCAGATAGAGGTATATATTAATATAAGGGACTATAACCCCCCCCCCCCCTTTCCTTTACGGACGGGTTTATATTTGAAATGTGACGTGCCCGCTGGGGATGTCAGCGTCACGACTTGTCCACAGTGTAGGGTTGGCTGTTCACTCCACGACACCAATTACTTATACGGTTGAGCTCTTTTTGTAGCGCTTCAGAAACCTTCTCTCTACCCTGGACTGACGATACACTAACACATCGTCAACATATGACATTGTTCTTCCGGGTCCTGTGATTTGCTCGCCTGTGATTCTCACTGTGTAAATGTTGAACAACACAGGAGATAATGGCGATCCCTGTGGCAGGCCGGGCTGTATTTTTGTTGGTTCATAAGTCCAGCAGCCACATCTGAAAACTACATTTCGTTGGAAGAGGGCGGAAGAGATCCAATGAAGCAGGAATGGACTTATCTAGAGTTCAAGAAGTTAAAACATTTGAAAAATCTAAAGGTACTCTGTTGTACGCATCCTCGAGATCACATCAATCGCCGCAGCACACGTTTCAATACCTGAGTGTAGGACTTCATACACATCATGAACAATGTGACTTCGAAGAGAACCCTAATCAGTTTTCTCTTACTTCATGCTTGTTGGGAAGCAGTGGATTTTTTCAACCTTTATATTGTTTACATGATGTAACTAGGTGGGTTTTTTGTAATTGACATAGGCCTCGTACATTGTTCTAGTTTAAAACTGGTACCAGGAAACGTCATGGAAAGTGAAGGCATCCGTTGTGAGACAAGTTTTAGTGAGAGATGTGTTTAACGACGCATGTATAACATTGCAGGTCCCTCAAGCAGTACACGATCTGTTTCATCAATCTGCTGTCATCTGAGTGCGGTCACTTGGTGCCACGTAACCTCGTCTTCAACATGCAGAAACAGTATGGTGGTATGTGCTCTAATGGTAAGTGCATATGTGAAATGTAATGTTTTCTCTTTTCTTCTTTCTAAATCTTCTCTTCTTCTTTTTCTTCATCTTCTTCCCCTTCTTCTTCTGCTTCTGCTTCTGCTTCTTCTTCCTCATCTTCTTCGGCCTTTCGAGTTCTTGAGGTTCATTGCTACAGACAGCACCTGACTTCACTCATCTCTGTGATTGGCTTTTTCTTTTCAGTTCATGACACCAAATATTGTTAGTCTGCCTATTATCATCATAAGTTGCCTTGCTGATTGGCGTGGGCTATTATGCATCTCCACAGTCTGCGATCTCCTGCAACATGTATCAGTTCCTGTGCTGACACACCTCCATGCCATGCAACAAGACTGTC